AGAGTGAGACCCGCGTGCGAGCTTCGCGATCGCGAGGTTTGGTGTGGGAATCACAGATATTCTTCCGGTTTGCAGGAATTACAGAGCTATAAATATTGGAAATTAACTGGAATCATGCCAGAGCAGTTCCATGTATGACCCAGAAAAATTTTGTAGTAAAGACTAGGCCTGAGGCCTTGTAATGACATCTCATTTTTTAGGCCCTAGCTTTAAAAAAAATGTCGAGTACCGTGTTTTTTTTACTTTTTTTTTTCTTTTTTTTTTCTTTTTTTTTCATTTTACAATATCTCAAAAACTAGAGCAGTCTCAAAATGAAAAACTTATATTTTGACGCCTTTTGAATTTATTTTTAGTATTCAACTCTGTATCATAACATAGGGCCTACTTATTATTGAGTCGTTTACTCTATTCATGATACATGCATCCAATAGAAAGCTCAATATTGAAAAAAAGAATATTGGTCATTGAATTCGCATCACGAAAATGGGAACATAACATAACTATTGTAGTTTTTATTACATTACTGCTTATTTCATATTCACGGTAAATAAATTTTGCATTGAAAATTATTAATATAAATTAGTTCTACTGTAACTCACTTTTAGGTCAATATAAATAAAATTTTGTAATTTTGAAAACATTATACCAAAACCCCTAATAACGGTACAATTTCACGCTTTGGTTGGTGTCACTTGAATATGGGTACCATTATCTTATTGAGAAGTCCCAAAGGGCCCCTGATTAAGGGTTCTACTTTACATCGAAGTGCTGTAGTGTCTTGTAACAACAATAAAATTTGATAAACTTACTTGAACATACTTATCTAAAACAGCTTTTCAATTTAATTTTCGTGATTTGTTGATTTCCATCGGTTTAATCTGACCGTATTAATTCTGACATTGGTTTCTAACACCTTTGTCATGTTTTTGATTCCATATTGCCTGCTAATTTAGTAGGCACGAAGGCGTAAATGTCCCCCAATATAGACAAATAAGGAGCTGAGGATGCGAATGAGTGACACAACACCGTAAATGTCTAAAATTTATTACACGACCAAAACAAATATCTCTATGTATTTTGAAACAAAAACACTATTAAAAAAACGGCGGTCTGACTGAGATTATAGTACACTGCATGTAGGCACGCAAATTGAAGACAATAGCCAAAATTGTATCAAATTACCGTATTTTATTTTTAGAATAATTTGTTTCGATATTTTGACTCGAATCTTCTGATTTTTAACGTGTTTAATTTTAACACTTAAGACTTTCTTTTGGAGACCCAGATACGATCAGACGACCCTCAAAAATTCTCTCACGTCCCAAACTTACCCATGGGTTACCGATCGTAAAATTAATCAATTAATAGTATATTATAAATAGATTTTATTATGACTGTTTGACAGTTAGACCGCATGTCATGCATGCATAATAATATGCCAAATAAATATTAATAAAATTTCAGTTCCTTAACCTTGTTATTTGTCAATTGAAATTGTTGGACACCAACCATCTATAATTTCCATTTTTTACTTGCCTGCCTACCTCACCCCCATCCCCACCACCATTGCCAACCATATTAAAGTTCATTCAGTAAAAATAAGTCATGGCTAGCGGTATTTCCTTTGTGTTATAATCAGCTGGTACACTGAGTAAGAACAAACAAGATTTCTTTCTCCAGATATTCGATCTTTGAGTAGAGAGCAGTAGCCAATTTAGGGGGTGGGGCCTTTTTAAAATTTCCAAAAATATTGAGAAAAAAATGATATATTCAAATTATTGTCTACATGTGCAGTAATAATACATGTTCTTAGCTCTACTTCAGCCGTACGTGGTTGGGACTGAGGTAGAAAAAAATATAAAATAGTACCTAGATGGGAAAACACACTTTTATATACAGTAGTCAAATTCACCGTCATCATCATCACATCACCAGGCAAAATGAAGCGTCAACAAATTTCTCATGATCTCTTATTAGCGATTTTCGGCAAACATAGAGATCTAATTAATACTGATATGTACTGTAAAATTAATCGTACTTGATCGTATGTTTCTTTGTTGATGTACTTTTGTTGCCATGAGAAAAACTAATTTCATATTTTAATTTGACAATAAAGCTATCTTGTATCTTGTATCTCGTATCTAATATGAATCGCTGCGATAGAAATATAACAACATAATTGTCTTCGATTTATCTACTTTACTTCATGATGAGCCGAAAACCAATTTATCTTTACACACTACTTTTTCTCATTCTTGTATAATAAAGGCACACGCACTCGAGTCGTGTATTACAGTTAATTCAGATGTTTGTGGACAAAAAACACCGGTATCTTGTTATAAAACAAGATGTTCTCTGCCTGTAATGTGGTCTTTCGTTAAAATCCGGTCATTTATGCAGTTCAATTCTACAATTTCCAGGTATATTCTTGACTTCCTTAGAAATTTACCTTGCGGACGAAACGTGATGGGGACCACCCCCTTTAAAATAGTTGGGGTACGTGTCGCATGTCACCCCCGTCAATGGTATTCACCAGAAGACAAGGCATTATACAGTAATTCGGCATCGAATCCTGAATTTAAGTGATTTCCAACATTTTTTTTTATATGAAGAGAGTAGAATAGTAGGCCTATTTCAAATAAATCAATTATCAGTCTTTATTATACTTTTTAAAATATCAGCAATTAGTTTTACACTATTTGCAAATAAATTTGTTTTATTGTATTAGCTATAAAATTTTAATTGGTGTTTTTAGGTAAGAAAATATAATAAAGGCCTATTCCTATATAGGGCCTTGATGTAAGATCACATATTTTTTCCGACTCCTGAGTCTCAGCTGGGTCGGCACACACTGGGTAGGCCTCATTATTTGTCAATTAATCGTACCTATCATTGTATTTAAAATTAAAATTGAATTATTGTTGTAGATCCATCTACCCTAAAATTAGATATTACAGAGGTTATTATAGAACAATATCAGTTTTACTTGTTTACATTGTTTACATTCTGGGACGTGACGTACGTACAAACTTGCGTACGTACATACGTGTTGCGTAAAGGAGTACGCGCAGACTGTTGAAGGTATGTTAACCAATCAAAAACGTC